GAATTTACTCTTCAAATCTTGGAATTTACTCTTCAAACTTAGAATTTTCTCTTCAAAACTTAGAATTTACTCTTCAAATATCGAATTTACTCTTCAAAACTTGGAATTTACTCTTCAAACTTAGAATTTTCTCTTCAAATATTGGAATTTACTCTTCGAAACATAGAATTTACTCTTCAAAACTTAGAATTTACTCTTCAAAATATCGAATTTACTCTTCAAATCTTGGAATTCACTCTTCAAACTTAGAATTTTCTCTTCAGAACTTAGAATTTACTCTTCAAAATATCGAATTTACTCTTCAAAACTTGGAATTTACTCTTCAAAATATCGAATTTACTCTTCAAATCTTGGAATTTACTCTTCAAACATAGAATTTACTCTTCAAAACTTAGAATTTACTCTTCAAAATATCGAATTTACTCTTCAAAACTTGGAATTTACTCTTCAAACTTAGAATTTTCCTTCAAATATTAGAATTTACTCTTCGAAACATATAATTTACTCTTCAAAACTTAGAATTTACTCTTCAAAATATCGAATTTACTCTTCAAATCTTGGAATTTACTCTTCACACTTAGAATTTTCTCTTCAAATGTTAGAATTTACTCTTCGAAACATAGAATTTACTCTTCAAAACTTAGAATTTACTCTTCAAAATATCGAATTTACTCTTCAAATCTTGGAATTTACTCTTCAAACTTAGATTTTTCTCTTCAAAACTTAGAATTTACTCTTCAAAATATCGAATTTACTCTTCAAAGCTTGGAATTTACTCTTCAAACTTAGAATTTTCTCTTCAAAACTTAGAATTTACTCTTCAAAATATCGAATTTACTCTTCAAAGCTTGGAATTTACTCTTCAAACTTAGAATTTTCTCTTCAAAACTTAGAATTTACTCTTCAAAATATCGAATTTACACTTCAAAACTTGGAATTTACTCTTCAAACTTAGAATTTTCTCTTCAAATATTAGAATTTACTCTTCGAAACATATAATTTACTCTTCAAAACTTAGAATTTACTCTTCAAAATATCGAATTAACTCTTCAAATCTTGGAATTTACACTTCAAACTTAGAATTTTCTCTTCAAATATTAGAATTTACTCTTCGAAACATATAATTTACTCTTCAAAACTTAGAATTTACTCTTCAAAATATCGAATTAACTCTTCAAATCTTGCAATTTACTCTTCAAACTTAGAATTTTCTCTTCAAATATTAGAATTTACTCTTCGAAACATAGAATTTACTCTTCAAAACTTAGAATTTACTCTTCAAAATATCGAATTTACTCTTCAAATCTTGGAATTTACTCTTCAAACTTAAATTTTTTTCTTCAAAACTTAGAATTTACTCTTCAAAATATCGAATTTACTCTTCAAAACTTGGAATTTACTCTTCAAAATATCGAATTTACTCTTCAAATCTTGGAATTTACTCTTCAAACTTAGAATTTTCTCTTCAAATATTAGAATTTACTCTTCGAAACATATAATTTACTCTTCAAAACTTAGAATTTACTCTTCAAAATATCGAATTTACTCTTCAAATCTTGGAATTTACTCTTCAAACTTAGAATTTTCTCTTCAAAATTAAATTTATTTCACAGGACGAAATCAGTAGCTATCATCATGGTTAAAGGTGGCGTAAAGCGATGTTATTGGCGGCTTTATTCACATTTGATCAGTTTGATTAAATTTAGTAAATGTACCTAAACTCTCCTTTCAGCATGCAGATTAAAGATTTTTCTGGAGGCTTTAAATGTCCAAATTATAGTATAATAATAGACGATTAAAGACAACCTATTAAAGAATGAGAAAAGTTTGTTTAAAGGGAATTAAAGGTTTCTAACTTGTCTTTAACTGCGAAGAGAAATGAGTTGTAAAGGTACCTTGAAGCTACATATACAAAGCTTTTCTCCTCTGGTATTTTACATCTTTAATCACATTTAATGTGGTGTTGAAATTGTAAAAAGGTGCATGTCTTTACTCAACTTTAAGCAAAGGTGTTTTGAATCTTTATTTTACCTTTAATCACATTTAATATGTGTTGAAATTGTGAAAAGGTACCTGTACATGCCTTTACTCAACTTTACGAAAAGGTGTTTTGTATCTTTATTTAACCTTTAATCACATTTAATGTGGGGTTGAAACTGTGAAAAGGTACATGTCTTTACTCAACTTTAAGCAAAGGTGTTTTGTATGTTTAACCTTAAAACACATTTAATGTCGTACGAAAAGAACAGAAAAGAAACGTATATTGTCTATTTGACGTTTCCATTTGCCATTTAATTAAATACCTATAGTATTGTTTAACCATTAATGGTAAACATTAATGGTTAAACAAACTATTCAAAATCGCAAATGCAAATGTCAAATAATAATAGTTACAGTTAAGCCATGTTTTAGATATTTTCGTTAAAAATTGTACGTGCAGGTGAGATGATCAATAAAACAAAAGTAATGCCATTCATAGATCTCTCTGGCGTTTCCCAGATTTGAACGTAATAGCAAACAAGCTGCTCCAGTGGCGAGTTTAATAGCAAAGCAGGAAGTAATGTCTCCAAAGACAAAAAAAAAGATTTCAGCACACATTTCTTCAATTTTATATTTACCATATAAATAACATACAAATCTGCCATGCAGAATAAATGCATATCGTATAAACAGTGTAAATTACGCAAACTCATAAATTTGATTATCAAATTATCACGTGCAGAATGAAAACCCACGAATAAAAACCTTTCAGTCTAACATTTCTGTTTAGAATTTTGTATGAACCTGTTTAAGAAGCCATGCAGGTTCACAACAAATATATAAAGCACTCTTAATACATTAGAACATGGAAAACTTTGGGTGATATATCGTGGGTCTTTACTATACTGAAAAACTATAGCAATCAGAGTCATGATCATGAAAATGTCATTAACAGAGTCATTCAGCGAAGAGCCACTAGGGATAATGACTGGGCACTCTCATCAACAACATTATCATCCTCGTTCTTAGCTGCCCACTCCGGGAAGTCGTTTGGCTTAGGTCGAATGGAGGGCTGTCCATCCTCGCGAGGAACAATTCTGCTCCGTACCAGTTCTGACAAAGACAAGGTGTGGAGCCTGTCTAACTTTTTCTTTGCCCTTCGTATAGAGATGGACTCTCCCAGGGTAGCCTACGAACGTTGTAACGCATGATCCTTTTTGTTGTTTCGTCGACCTCGCTTTCTTCTGATGACATGTACAGTAGCCTGCCCTCATAACATCGAACACTCTTGCAGTTTTCTGGGCACCCCAATTTGCCTTTTCCACGTGCTTCAGCCTGCGTGCAAGTCTCTAAAGAAAGATACAAAATAATAACAAATAAGTTTGACACTACTACAAGTTCTTAGAAAACTTATAGTACAAATGTTGACTATTGAGTTCACACAGTACAATTGTGTATCAAATGTTGATTTGATGATTGGATGACATTGCCTGGATGACTTTTCCTTCCACCGTATGCGCGTTGTTCAGACTCTGAAAGTTCTTTAAATTCTTCTTCATAATCATTTTACACACTTTTCGTCGCAGGCGACATACAGTAGGTAATTTGGGGGGGGAGGGGGGGGGTGTTAGGTAGACTGCTTATGCATGCCACAACTTTGCTCAGCAAGAAATCCGACTTTGGAAGCCATACAGATTCATCCACGAGGTTATCGAGGCATTACAAGCAATGAGCATAAAAATGTCATTTACTGCATGTATTTAAATTTATACATTGCTCGGGGAGACAAAGCAAAAGGTAACTTTCAAATAGAGTGTCACAAATGTCACAAACACCCAAAGACGGATGTTTTAGATTGAGCAACCCCCTTGAAATACAAAGCTAAATTAATGCCTATCAAAATTAAATGCAGTGTTATAAGTTCAAACCTCGTCCTTTATAAAATAATCTCTTCAATTCTTTGAATTTACTCTTCAAACTTAGAATTTTCTCTTCAAATATTAGAATTTACTCTTCGAAACATAGAATTTACTCTTCAAAACTTAGAATTTACTCTTCAAAATATCGAATTTACTCTTCAAATCTTGGAATTTACTCTTCAAACTTAGAATTTTCTCTTCAAATATTAGAATTTACTCTTCAAAATATCGAATTTACTCTTCAAATCTTGGAAATTTACTCTTCAAAACTTAGAATTTACTCTTCAAAATATCGAATTTTCTGTTCAAATCTTGGAATTTACTCTTCAAACTTAGAATTTTCTCTTCAAATATTAGAATTTACCACTCGAAACATAGAATTTACTCTTCAAAACTTAGAATTTACTCTTCAAAATATGGAATTTACTCTTCAAATCTTGGAATTTACTCTTCAAACTTAGAATTTTCTCTTCAAAACTTAGAATTTACTCTTCAAAATATCGAATTTACTCTTCAAAACTTGGAATTTACTCTTCAAACTTAGAATTTTCTCTTCAAATATTAGAATTTTCTCTTCGAAACATATAACTTACTCTTCAAAACTTAGAATTTACACTTCAAAATATCGAATTTAATTTTCAAATCTTGAAATTTACTCTTCAAACTTAGAATTTTCTCTTCAAAACTTAGAATTTACTCTTCAAAATATCGAATTTACTCTTCAAAACTTGGAATTTACTCTTGAAACTTAGAATTTTCTCTCAAATATTAGAATTTACTCTTCGAAACATGTAATTTACTCTTCAAAACTTAGAATTTACTCTTCAAAATATCGAATTTACTCTTCAAATCTCGGAATTTACTCTTCAAACTTAGAATTTTCTCTTCAAATATTAGAATTTACTCTTCGAAACATATAATTTACTCTTCAAAACTTAGAATTTACTCTTCAAAATATCGAATTTCCTCTTCAAATCTTGGAATTTACTCTTTCAAACTTAGAATTTTCTCTTCAAATATTAGAATTTACTCTTCGAAACATAGAATTTACTCTTCAAAACTTAGAATTTACTCTTCAAAATATCGAATTTACTCTTCAAATCTTGGAATTTACTCTTCAAACTTAGAATTTTCTCTTCAAAACTTATATTTTACTCTTCAAAATATCGAATTTACTCTTCAAATCCTGGAATTTACTCTTCAAACTTAGAATTTTCTCTTCAAAACTTAGAATTTACTCTTCAAAATATCGAATTTACTCTTCAAATCTTGGAATTTACTCTTCAAACTTAGAATTTTCTGTTCAAAACTTAGAATTTACTCTTCAAAATATCGAATTTACTCTTCAAAACTTGGAATTTACTCTTCAAACTTACAATTTTCTCTTCAATTATTAGAATTTACTCTTCGAAACATAGAATTTACTCTTCAAAACTTAGAATTTACTCTTCAAAATATCGAATCTACTCTTCAAATCTTGGAATTTACTCTTCAAACTCAGAATTTTCTCTTCAAAACTTAGAATTTACTCTTCAAAATATCGAATTTACTCTTCAAAACTTGGAATTTACTTTTCAAAACATCGAATTTACTCTTCAAATCTTGGAATTTACTCTTCAAACTTAGAATTTTCTCTTCAAATATTAGAATTTAGTCTTCGAAACATAGAATTTACTCTTCAAAACTTAGAATTTACACTTCAAAATATCGAATTTACTCTTCAAAACTTAGAATTTACTCTTCAAAATATCGAATTAACTCTTCAAATCTTGGAATTTACTCTTCAAACTTAGAATTTTCTCTTCAAATATTAGAATTTACTCTCTTCGAAACATAGAATTTACTCTTCAAAACTTAGAATTTACTCTTCAAAATATCGAATTTACTCTTCAAATCTTGGAATTTACTCTCTTCAAACTTAGAATTTTCTCTTCAAATATTAGAATTTACTCTTCGAAACATAGAATTTACTCTTCAAAACTTAGAATTTACTCTTCAAAATATCGAATTTACTCTTCAAATCTTGGAATTTACTCTTCAAACTTAGAATTTTCTCTTCAAATCTTAGAATCTACTCTTCGAAACATAGAATTTACTCTTCAAAACTTAGAATTTACTCTTCAAAACATCGAATTTACTCATCAAATCTTGGAATTTACTCTTCAAACTTAGAATTTTCTCTTCAAATATTAGAATTTACTCTTCGAAACATAGAATTTACTTCAAAACTTAGAATTTACTCTTCAAAATATCGAATTTACTCTTCAAATCTTGGAATTTACTCTTCAAACTTAGAATTTTCTCTTCAAAACTTAGAATTTACTCTTCAAAATATCGAATTAACTCTTCAAATCTTGGAATTTACTCTTCAAACTTAGAATTTTCTCTTCAAATATTAGAATTTACTCATCAAAACATAGAATTTCTCTTCAAA